AGTTCCAAATTTCCACTACCCTTTGCGTGAAAAAGTGCTTCCTGATTTCACTCCTAAATGGACTAGCTCTCAGTTTAAGATGACGCCCCCCATTTTGTTCTGGATTCCCCCTCGCTGTTGCCTCAACATCTGCCCCAATCATTGAACGACTGGCCCAGCTGAGTTGAAGTAATTGAGCATCGACCATGGTTCATTGGATCGGCTGACAGGGGAGCCTGAAGAATGTACAATCCAGACCAAAGAAATAGGGACTGAAATTCACGAACAAAATCAATCAGTGTTTGCAGTCTGTCAGTTAAAACAGCAAAATCTCATCATGGTTGGCTAATTTAGATATTTGATTTATAGACGTAGGACAGTGGAAAAAGCAGCCAACAACCTGATCGATAGACTGTCACACACAATGGGCATCCCGGCTGTTATACTAACCCACCCCCCACCACCCTGCTGTCTGTGCACCGCAACATCCTAATGAGGGTGGACCGTGCGTTAGGAATTCAAGGATAACAACAAATTGTATTTAAGTAGGACCTTTCACGTCGGGAGGATGTCTCAAGGCGCTAGACAATCCAGGGTTTCGCACCCAAGCTGGAGGTTGGAGTCAAAAGAGGTGGCGGGCGGAGGTGGGAGGATGACCAAGGCACGGTCAAAGAGGAAGGTCTCGAGGCGGGATTGAGATGAAAAAGAAATGCTGGATTCAATCATATGGGTTATTTTAAAAAATCGTGGTCACTCAATCCATGGCTGTTTGTGGGGACACTGCTGCATGCACCCGCCTGCCGTATTTCGCCCCCAAAATATACAGTCAATCCACTTTACGGTATATTCTGTGAAGCGCTTTAAGAGGTTTCAACGACATGATATCAAATGCAAGGATTATTATAAGCATTCGTAGACTCCACCTTATTTGAGGGGTACTTTATAAATACAAGTTGTTGTTGTTGTAGTTGTGCTTGCGGTTAACCCACAGGAATCCCAACTCCTTCCGAGGCTGTATCCCATAGGATTTTGTGGTGCAGCATGATATACTGTATGCTGTATACTCGTAGCAGGGTCTCTGCTCATTTGCAGCGAGTGTCTTTGCACATTCATAAATTGAGCAGAGAGAGTTGGGCAGTGTTGGTGGATTGGGGGAGGTTGGAGAGAGAGCCAAGGCGGGGGGGGGTGCAGGGGGCGTGTGTGGATTTTCAGCAACAGCCGGTTGTGAGCAGACACCATGCTGTGGGAATAAGATTGCGCGCTGAACAATTTAAAATTCATGCTGTTGCTCACTCAGCGTTGACGGGTCAAACCCTCGCGTCTGGTCTCGAATTAATCTGCGATCTTGAGGCAATGCGTCAACAGAGAATGCGACCCGCAGTGCGTGCTGACAGAACTGCAAGGAAAGTGACAATGAATAGGACGTGTGACTGAGCAAACTGAGCAAGCTCAGGACTCGGAGAGTCATAATTAAAGAGCGAACACGGTGATCGGCAGGCGGCACTCGAGATTCCAGCATTCCCGACGCTGATAATAATGAGAATCCTTGGCATTTGATACAGCGCTTTATCACGTCGTTGAGACGTCTCAAAGCCCTTCGCAGAACATGCTGTAAAGTCGATTGACCCTATATTTTGTGGGCGAAACGCGGCAACCAATTGGTTGCACAGCAACGACCCACAAACTGCCAGTGATCTGCCAATTGACAAAAAAACGGGTTCCTTTCGGCGATCCAGGGATAAAAATCTGTCAAAAAAAAATCTGCACGTTCTCCCTCCCCCTTCTTCCTCATGATGTATGTACAACTCCACACATTCCCCAGAATCTGCAGCTCTGTGTCTCCCCCAGGATAGAGCAGCGTAAGCCCGCGTCGAGTGATTAATAGCACTTAACAGTACTTTCCCCGAGGTTCTTCCAAATTTATTTTCACTTGTTGGAATTTATCTCCTCCTGTTTTACTTTACTTTACAGGTGTACTTTGATGTAACAGTCTGAGTCTGCCTTCTCTGTGTTATTAATTATTGTATAGGCTTCAACCGGGAGCTCTCTTCCCTCTTCCTTAACATAACCGCTTTCTTTCCAGACCCCGAAAGAGTTTTATCTGCAGCCAGAAGAATAGATACAGAAAGTGTGATGGACATGCACCTTTCTTCCCACTCCACTACCTCCACTGGTTGGCTCGCTCCACCATTGGCACTTTTAGCCACTACACCCCCAAAACTTTGGAACTCCCTCCCCCAATCCCTCCACCTTGCCCTCTCTTTCCCTCCTTAGATCACGACTGACGACTGCTTTTGGTCACCTCCTCCCGGTTCGGGGTCAGGTTCTGCCACTGTTATGTGCTCCGAGATACTGCACCGCTTGAAGGGCACAATATAAACGCAAGTTGTTGTTGTAGGTTTGCAGTTAAGAACTTGTGCTACAAGCAGCTTGGGGTGGTTCGGGGTATGTGAAAGTTCACACCTTATAGTAAATGACTGTGTGGGGCATTGCAGTAACGGTGACATGCGAACATTTGGACAGGATGCATTTTGCGGTGCAGGAAGCACTTGATCATTGTGAAGGCCTGAATTCAGATTAAAAGATAACCCATGGCCACAAGGGTTCAAAAACTAAGTGTGAATCTACTTCTAGGTAATTAGATTCCACCTTGCAGCAAAGTAGTGAATGGTAACATCACAGAGATTGTATTTATAATATTTATAATCATTATTATTCATTTATAATAATCCTTGAATTTGATATGGCGCCTTATCACCTTGCAGAGACCTCTCAAAGCGCTTCACAGGATTTTACTTAAAGTGTAATGACTGTATTTGTAAGCAAACGCGGGAGCCGATTTGTAGCTCAGTCGTTACCTGCTTCCTGTTGACCAGTCACTGGGGGCAGAGAATCCTCCCACTCAGCTCCTCTTAACCCTGCAAGCATAAGTCTTAATGGGTAGGGTGATCCTAGCTAGACAAGCGGCAGGAAAGCTTCCAGACAGCGAATGGCAGTTTTAGCCGGTTAGACTCCAGCAGGACTCCCAACGCACACTCTGGGGTCCTCAAGCCTTGGCCCTTGCCAACCTGCACCTAATACATTCCGCAATTAGGTAAGCAGGATATATCCCTCCCGGGAGAGAGTGCCCATTCCATTCCAACAATCTATCTCCGCAATTTCCATGTGCAGGTGGGATGCGTGGAATTCTCCACTCTTGAGCGCAGTGATGGGTTTCCGCACGTGTCAGACACCTTATTGACTGAGAATGCGGAAGATTGGCTGGAATATATCCGCGGATTTATCTTTCAAGAACTTTTGTGACTCGTGCCATTCAGTGACCTGAACTCTCTGACGTACATCACACTGGCTATTTAAGTAATTTGCGCAGACGAAGATTTCAGGTGCTGAAGGAGAGAGGAAAAATAGAAGAGGTCCCACTAAGGCCTCATTAACTTGATGGGTTGTGTTCAGAACCACAGCCTTAGAGAGGATTCTGGCAGCTGCTGCTCGCAACGACCAGAGAAGCGTCGGTCACAACATCACATCGCAGATCAGCAATATGTTCACACTGGCCACTGCGAGGTGGCTGCTCATTTCTGCAAAGACTAGTGAGCTCAGCTGATGCAGAGTATGTGTGAGTTTGTGTGAATCGCTATGTGTTTACGTGGGTGTTTATGTGTACAGGTGTCAGCCTGGGTCAGTTAGTAGCACTATCACTTCTGAGTAAGAACCTTGTGGGTTTAAATCCCACATCAGGACTTTAAACTCACAGTCTAAGGTGACACCAATGCAATGCTAAAATGAGCCGTATTTCAGATGAGATACCAAAGTGAGTATGTGAGTGTATATGTGTGTGTGTATATATATATATATATGCGTGTGGGAGGGTGATCAAGATATGTGGATGTGAGTTTGTATTTGTGTAGGTATGTGAGTGTAAAAATGTGTGTGTGTCTTGGTATATGAGTGTGTATATTTGTATGTGTAATTGTATGTGAGTGTGTTTATGTGTGTGTATATGCATACGTGCGTGTGTGTGTGTGGATGTTTAAGCTGCACTGCGCTTTTCCCAGTCAGTTACCTGTCAGTCGCAGGTGGATGTGTGAAATTCGCTGCACCCTCTGCTTGTCCAGAGGAATGAGTCCCTCAGTCTCCTGAAGCTCAATCTGCCATCTCCGCATGTATAATGAGATTTGTCAACAACTCCACCATCTGTCAGGAGGGACGACTTGCCTCTGGTGGCACCTCCCCTCCCCCATAACAGACTCATGTACAAACGTTGTAAGGCTCCTCAAGCAGGCACTACCCGGATTTATATTTAAAACAAAGTACAGCTCTGCAAATAATAATTAAAATAATAATCCTTGCATTAGATACAGCGTCTTATCATATCGTTGAGACCCCTCAAAGCGTTTCGCAGAATATATTGTAACGTAGATTGACTGTGTATTTTGTGGGCGAAAAGCAGCAGACAATTGCGCACAGCAGTGTCCCACAAACAATCGTGGATTGGGTGACCAAATTATTATTTTTTTGAAGGGATTATTACCCCCAGAAAACCGATCCACCAATCATCTAACAACTGGGTTCCTACTTACTGCAGAGACGTGTGGACTAAGGAAACTTAATAATAATAATCCTTGCATTTGATATAGTGCTTTCACTTTCGCCCTGCCTGGAATTGAACTCAGGTCTCTCACTTGCAAAGCGAGTGCTCTAACCACTGAGCTACAGGACTCCACTTGTGTAAGGTTTCGCCCAGCAGGGAATCAAACCCAGGTCCTCTCACTTGCGAGGCGAGCGCACTAACCACTGCACTCCACAAGGTCTCAACGCCGTGATAAGTCACCATATCAAATGCAAGGATTATTATTATTATTATTATTAGCTGTGAACGTCCCTGGGTATATATATATATGTGTGTGTGTGTGTGTGGGAGGGCGATCAAAATATGGAACTGACTCGTGATGAACGTTCATGTTATTTGAGCAGCGACGGGCCGAACACTTGTGATAATTGCAAATCCTCTTGCCTTTCAGGAACACATCTACAAGCTGATGAAAAGTGACAGCTATACCCGCTTTCTACGCTCCAGTGTCTATCAGGAGCTGCTGCAAGCAAAAAAGAAGGTAGAGTTCCTGAGCTGCGACTGCCTATTTCTGCTGCTGACGTTCATCCTTCATCATGTCCCGTGGCAGGTTGAAAGCGAGATGAGACTCACCATATTGGATGGGGTCAAGGCAGTGGGGTTCATAGGCTCAGAAGGACCCTTGCTTCAGTGTCTAACTGAGAGCTCCTCACTCGTACCTCAGGGTCTCACTGTTGTCAGTCACTGGGAAGTTGCCTCCGAGACACTACCCAACGTGAAGGATGTTATATAGATGCACGTTGCTGTCGTTGGTGGTGTTGTTGTTGTTGTTGCTTGTAGTCATCTCCCCTTTCTCCCCACGCCAAACTAGGAGGAAGAGAGATGGGAGATGACCATAGGCGCGGTTGAAGGGATAGGTTTTCTGGTGGATTTGAATATAGACAGAGAGGGAGAAAGGCAGGGGAGTTGCAAGTGTAAAAACTGAAGGCTCAGCCATCAATTGAGCAGAAGCCTTGCTGGTTATCACCTCCCTTAACCAAATAGCACTCTGGCCAATTATACTGCATCAGTAATTCAGCTCAGAGCTCAACCTTCCTCTCTGTGTGGTAAGGAGGCCCCTCACACACCGAGCCAGCAGGAGAGCTGGCTTGTGGCTTTCCCGGATTTTGCTGTTACAGACTTGGGCCTCGGTTGAGACATTCCCTCTGAGTTTTCTCTTATCACTTTCCGATTCCAGCTGGAGAATGAACAGGGACGCAGAACCTCGCTCGAGAAGTTCACCCGCAGCGTGGTAAGTGTGGGCTTTAACAGAGGCAGGCGTGGGCACATGTACCTACTCACACGCACAACAACAACTTGCACTTATATAGCACCCTCCGCGCAGTTTAGCGTCTCAGAGCACTTAATACACACACATACACAAAAACATATACACAGGTGACTTACCTATCAAACCATTGACCGCTTCAAAAACCTCTTAACCTTCGCTTCTCCAGTAAAAACACTTCCAACATTTCACTTAATGTTGGGGCTTTAGAATGACGTCATTGTTAGGATAGTAGACAGTGACTGTCCCCGAGAGGAATACTCAGTGCAGGTTTACTGTGCAAATAATGATTTCCTTTTCAGGAAATCATCTAACTGGCGTGTGTGTGTGTGTGTGTTTGCACGTGGGAGGGGAGGATATGTGTGTGTGTTTGAATATGTGAATATATACATGAATGAACATGAGTGTGATTTTATGTGTGTGTTTCCATATATATGTGTGTGTGTGAGCAAATGTACGTTTATAAGAGTGTATTTTTGAGCACGTGTGTATGGGCTTGTGTATGTATGACTGTTTGTATGTGAGTGCATGTGTGTATTATCATTATGTGCAAGTGTATGTTTGTGTATTGGTTATTATTTGCATCAGCCAATTAATAATTAATTCTTTGAGACGTCTCAATGACGTGATAAGGCGTTATATCCAATGCAAAGATTATTATTATTATCAAACATATTCCAGTCTGTGTACAATGTATTTATACACTCCATTCAAAAGGATAATGAAAAATAAATAATAACTTGGTCACTCAATCCACGACTCTTTGAGACATACTGCTGTGCGTAATTGGCTGACTCATTGCGCCCACAAAACATACAGTCAAGTCAATTCACTTTACAAGTGCTTTGAGACGTCTCAAAGATGTGATAAGGCACTATATCAAATGCAAGGATTATTATTATTGTTTTGAGATGTATTATTATTGTTTTGAGACTACCATCCTGTTCGTTCCCTCCGCGCAGAGGGCTCCGGCCTGCTTTACATCCCCCGCCTCGCTCGCCCTACTATTGGTGGGTGGGCCTTCCGCCACTCTGCCCCCACCCTCTGGAACTCCATCCCGCAGTCCCTCCACCTCGCCCCTCCTTGCCTCCTTCGAGACCCGTCTCAAGACCCTCCTCTTCGACTGTGCTTTCGATCTCCCTGCATCCCCCCCACCCCCCCGCCCTTCATCCTCAACCACCCTGACCCCCAGCTCGGGTTCGTAATTCTGTCCGTCCAGAGCCTTGGTACATCTTCCCAACGTGAAAGGCGCTTTACAAATGTAATTTTGTTGTTGTCCTCCCGCTGCGAAAGGCGCTAAAAAAATGCTATTTGTTGATGTTGCTGTTTGGTTTCTAGGGTAAGTCGCTGACTGGCAAACGTCTCACAGGCCTCATGCAGTCATCTTGACAAAACTCCATCGCTGGCTGTTGGAGAGAAGGGGAAGAGATCTACAATTACCCTCCTGGGAGTCACACTTTTCAAGAGAACCACAAAGAGGAGAGGCTACTGTACACAGAGTCACAAACGCCCTGTTTGCATACTGTAATCTTTCCTCTGTAAGGAACGGGACTGCATCGCTACCCATCGCATTATCAAAGTGTTTTTTTGTTGTTGTTTAAAAGATGGATATATTCCCAGGCTCAGCGGAGAGTTGAGTTTCTGTCTGTCAGTGAAAACTTAAAGCCATTCTTGAGAGCTCGTTCCCACGACTAGTAAGTATCGCACTGAGACCAGAAGCTCTGAGGCAGGTTTGAGTTAGCTGATCTCAGCAGGAAACACAATAGGGTGCCCCACAATTGGCCTTAGCATTCCTGGGTTAGGGAGGGGGGAATCAGCCGAGGTTCCTGCTGCTGATTGCTATCCAGTGACTCCTGCGGGTGGGCAAATGGGTGGGAGGATGCACAGGTAAGAGGGAGGGAGGGATTGAGGGTGGTTGGATGGGTGGGAGGGAGGGAGAGGCACAACTGTAGACATGACCAGTCTCAACTGTGAAGCCCTCCGCAATCAAACACATGGCCAAAGCCAGTTGGGCTAAGTTACTGGTGGTTGCCTCGACTCTCAACTCAACTCTTGTTTTATCCCTTTCCCTTCCTCCCTTTCTCCCCCTCAGTGGGGCTGTTGGATAGAGCGTCATATTCCTAGAGAGTAGAGGCAGTTAGGGAGACCTCTCCTGCCATTGACAGCACACCTCCCCGTAGGCAGTAATGGGCAAAGCCGATGGTGATCTTTCCCTGGCCGGGGAGAGCGATCAGAAACCAACAGGAAGCTGGTAAATGGCTGTAGCTGGAATTAAGACAACTTTCACCCTGGATACAGGGCTGTGATCTGGGCAGAGGTTTATTTCTTTCTTTGATTGGTTGCTTGTTTAGAGGAGAGGGGGGGAGTGGGGGGTGCAGAGTGGGGAAGGGGGATGAATCATCCACAAACATTTGACATTTCAATTCATTATTTTGCATTGGCTGACGGTCGGAGAGGCAGCTGGAAAACAAAAGCCTTCTGTCCCTACATACGTATCGGCATGTGGGTGAGGCAATGGGTGAGATCACTGAGTGTAATGGGTGGGGATGGAGTGGGAAGTCGGGGGCAGGAAAGCCGGGCAGGGGTGGGGCAATGGGGTGAGCGATAATAATAATAATCCTTGCATTTGATACAGCGTCTTATCACGTCGTTGAGACGTCTCAAAGCGCTTCACAGAACATATTGTAAAGTGGATTGACCCCTTTATTTTGTGGGCGAAACGGGTATGGGAAATAGGGCATGGGTGTGTGGAGGGGGGAAGCAAAGCGCAGGGGGGAACAAAGCCAGAGGGAGCACCAGGTTAGAAGTGGAGGGTTGGGTTAGGATGGTGATGGTGGTGGGGCAGTAAATAAATGGTCTAAAGTCTTACTGACAGAACAAGAAAAAAGCCTAAATTGTTACAACCTGACCTTTTCCTGAAAATAATATTGCACCGAAAGTTCAGCCCACAGAAAAGAATCCTTGTGTTGCTTTTTTTAAAAAAAAGGCCTCATTCACTGAATGATCTCTTGTTTGAGCATGTTGTGTTTATTTATGACGAAACTTTTTTAAGGTGACAAATGCGTTCTTTTTTGCATTGAATTGCTTGCGTATGTCAGTCATTATTAGGTACAAAGCAGGGAAATCCTTCCAGTAGTGTCTTGAAGACCAGCGGTTGGCACTGAGGATGTCCTATTGGTGGCTGGAGTTACATAGTTACTGCTGCGGGCAGTGTTAATCAGAGCTCGTTCATCACCAATGAGACCCGTTACCTCAGTCCTGAAATGCCAACACCGCAGCTGATTGCTCAAGCCCACCTCATGTCACACGGTCAAAAGATGGGTTCGGAAGAAGAAGGCCCTTCACCCATCTGATCTCACCCCTCCAGAATCGAAACTAATCTGTGGAAAAACTATTTCAGTGAGCGAATGTTAAATCTATGAAACAGGCTCCCTAGGGAGACGGGGGAAGCAGAAAGTCTTGATTCATTCAAATACAAATTAAATAGATTTCTTTGAGAAAAAAATATTTTAATATATTACTTATAAATAATATATTAGTTATTTGAGATGTGATATATAGTAAGTGTAGTTGCTTGGAAGAACCAGGAAACTTTGGATCCCGTAGCTTTCCACTCTGTTGTAGACTAATCTATACAGAGTTAATTGCTACCAACATTATTGTAGCATGTGACTACCAGGATGGAGGATGGCGGGCTGGATGGATCTGATCTTTTTCGTCGAGCAATTCCTATGATCCTATCTCCTTCATGGCCTCCCACAACACCATTTTCCCATCACAGCATTGATCTGCAAAAGCTGCATGTGCAGAACATTCACCAGGATATGGGAACAATGTCCTGGGAAGTTGGGAATGATACTCTCCGACCTTGGGAAAGGTGCCCTCCGACCCTGGGAGAATTCCATAAATGGGGTGGTGACCGGGAAGTGGAGGAATGGTGTTATGCCAGGAAAGTAATTGGACCCTCAGGATGTTTCAGTAAATGTCAACCTGTTCAGAGGTGAAAAATTCCTCTTGAATTTGACGTCTTTGACGATAGGTCTTCATTAGGAGGAAACAAGGAATTTCATCCCCTTAAAATCCATCTGAAGTCACCGGTTAAGTAAGACTTCATTTTGAAGTGTGCGCATGTGAACCAAGGTGTAATAATTATAGCGTTAATGAGAAAAAGAGAGGCCCGAGCATCCGGATTCAGAGGTTATATAGATACAGAGGGAGAAAATGACCTGGGCTCTATAGAGCAGAGAGAAACCCATCAAATCCCAGTGGAGATTTATAAGTGACTGGCACTCCCCTCACTGCTTCATGACAAAACCTATTTATTTAAATGCCCTCGCAGTCTCCAGTCTGTATCAATCAGCAGGTTTGTATCAGGGGCTTGGAGGCAATTTCACACTAGATCCAGAAATGGGGAGGGAGCAAGGGGAGAGGAAAAGGTTCAGAAATTAGTTTGCTGAGGTGTTTTTTTTCGGCGTAGGTTGGTAAAAGCTAAGGCTTGGAGGCCCCAGTATGTGCTAAAACTGCATAGACTGCCATCGGTATCGCTGACTGGCAAGCTTTCCCGCTGCTTGTCCAGCTAGGACCACCCTATCCGTTAGGGCTTTGGCTTGCAGGGTTTGAATAAAGAGGGGGGGGGGGGGAGGAATGCACGTTGGGCACCAATGCATGGGACAAATAATAATAATCCTTGCATTTGACAAAAGTGATGGGAAGCAGGTTCAATCCCATGCGGAACAGATCGCGAGCAAAAAAAAGATGAAACACAAAGACGTTTGAGTCCATTGTAGGTGGTGTTACAGTAACTGATGAGCAAATGGCTTTGAAGACTCACCTACCTTTAACGATTGGGAGAGGATTGCCACGTACTGTTATAGCATTCTTCTGGGAGGGGTATGTGTGTGGGGGGAGGTGGGTAAGGGACTGAATATAATGTTACAACAGCTCTGGGAGTCTGACTGACCAAGGCTCATGGATTTATGTACAGTATAAGCCTCACAGCAGCCGCCATGCATTGAGTTGGAACAACCATCAGCTGGTGGAATTGGCTGACCTATGATCCTTTTCATCGCCATTAAAAAGCACAATATTTTCTGCACAAACTATGCATGTAATATATGTACAGGTATTATCTCCTACATTCTTGCATTTATAACTTACCCTTGAAGTCTCGAAACGCCTCATAGTGGCAGGCTTGGACACCAAGTTGGGAGGAAGGGTTGGGGATGAGGGGGGAAGGTGTCATAGACACAGTCAAATAGGTAAGTTTTAAGGTGGGATTGAAGAGACATAGAGAGGGGGATGAGGCAGAGTGATAGAGGCGAAGAATGCCTGAGATTGGGAACAGGCTTGAAGGTTCGAATCCCTTTGGTCTGAGTTACCTGTTGGTGTTCATTGGTCCTCAGCACTGCCCAGCTCCGTAAAATGGATGGAGCTTTGAACTCCTGTTGCCCGAATTCCAGTGGTTCTAGACTTATCTGTTTCCTAATATTCAGGAGCAGTAGCGTGCAGACTCTGACAATTTCTTAAATTCAGAGAGAGAAAAAAGAGGGAAGGTTCGAAAAAAACACATTGTGCACCTTCTAAAGTGATGGAGCAGTAAACATATCTCGCCTGGGAAGATGATTGGAGCTGTCCCCTCGGGCAACAGTATTAGTTTCTGATGGAGATGCACGGAGGTACCGGCTTGGAATACCTGCTCTGAACACGGCAGGAGACACATGTGTGGTCCCAAGGAGGTTTGAGGTTTGGTAAATATAAACTATTGAAAATAATTCCACTGCCAGTACCTCACATTTTAGGGCTTCCATAGTTAAATCTGCAGTGAATTACTACTTGATTCACATCGATCACAGTATATTGTATTTAACAGGCTTTATTGGATCCCATGTATAATGTGCCATATTGCACGACCTGAAATTACGTCTATCTTATTGGCATGTATAAAATGTTGCTGCTCGAAAGGGATCAAAAAAAACCTTTGATGGCCATATGATTTCTGCAGCGTTTGAATTGTGTATATTCTCGTGATAAAATAAGCACTGTAATAGCAAGATGTGTTATTTATGAACAGATGGCTCAACGCTGGCCTTTTAATGTAAGTAGATTATAGGAAATTAATAATGACTTTAACCTATGTATGAGGTCAGCCTCCCTTTGCAATGTGCATGCCCCTATAATAATATTATACAAAAAAGATTCTTTCTAATAAAAAAAACTGCTACCTTTGAGAGCGAGAGTTTGAATGAGTCTTTCAACCTGTAGCTTATTTCTTTGAAAGTGGGAACTTTGTGATGTCATTAGTTTGCTAACAAATAATAATAATAATCCTTGCATTTGACATAGCGCCTTATCACGTCATTGAGACGTCTCAAAGCGCTTCACAGAATATATTGTAAAATGAATTGATCGTGTATTTTGTGGGTGAAACACGGCAGCCAATTATGCACAGTACATTTATGAGCTTTCTGGTTTAAACTGATAAAAGCAGGGATTGGGTGGGGTGGGGGGGGGGGTTAGAGAGGAACAATTGAATTGTTTTGAAGTTTGTGTTTCTTTTTATTGGTTAGCACCCAAAAGTTCCTAATGCTCGTTTTTCAGCCTGGTCCTCAGCTCTGATTTTACATGGCATTCCCCCAGCACATTGTGTGGGAAACAACTAAGGTAGGCATCAGAGAGCCTGTACAATCCTACAGCCTGCTTTGTCCCCTGACCA